GCAGCTGACGCATCCTAATGAAAACATGTTTTGGATAAGAGCTGAGAAATAATGATAGAAAGACCTAACGCGAACTCCATATAGCAGGATACTTTTATCTTATAGCTGTTGTACAATTAACGCAGGATTCAATGAGGCAGGAAAACAGTTAATGGAAGTTAATGATGAGAACACACAGAGTTCTTGTATCATTAACCAACATGCAGTCAAACATGTTAATGATTGTGTTTACTATCCCTGCAGTCAGAGAGAATAAAGACCCAAACTTAGATACTTACCTTTGCATCTCATTCAAAAGGAAAAGAAAACTGGTAATGAGAATGTGGTTAAATGTGGTTTCATTAGCAATTTTAGACAGGAAATACATGTGTGACATACACGAATTAGCAGAAAGGATTCCCACTGTGCATATTTCTAGTTAACCCAAAGACACAGGAAAATAGCTCTTCCAATATATCTAAGAAAACATTCTATTAGTCAGGATTTTAATGTTGATAATACAACGTGATCCACTAAACAGCATGTAAATGTACACCTCCGAAGCCATGAGAGAGAGCTGTGAATGATTTGAAATACTCCTCTTCTTCAAAGACTGGAACCATAAGAAACACACAGCAGCGTTTTCACAGAAGTTATATTTATAAGGCGAAATGCAGAGAAACGAAGAGGAAGAGACAGTGCCGGCAAGAGACAGAGAGTGGTGGGTTGGAATTGGATGAAGGACGCATAAGCTCTCATTGAGTTGGCAACGGTGAAAAGAGCCCTTGGTTATTGAAAAAAGAAGAAATCAAAGGCAGAAAATTCCTGCAGAGGGATGGGGGCAGAGAAACAAGCCTGTCCTCCTCTTCTTTGTTTTTTTTTCCCCTTCCTTTTTTCCCAGTGTGGTTAGAGTAGTTAGCCACTCAGCAATAGAAGAGAGATGCATGGCAGCCAGCAGGTTGGCAAGGCCCTTAAGCATAAGGATCTAAGAAGGAATAGGAGGCGACACAGCACAAATTGTTTTCTATTCTGCAATGTGGAGGATTTTGCTGAGTGTTGAACACTGCTGAAAACAGTGACACTATTTGCCTTTTTGCAGTGCAGCACTTCCTACGGCGGCAAACGTGCCATCTTATATGATGACATAATTACTCATTAAATGTTAAACATCCACGAGACGTGTGCGAAAACGCAACATTCTGCTTGGTGTGAGTCCTATGTAGCTTCCACTATACTGACAGTGCACTGACAGTGCATACATATGTAAGGACGCCGGCAGCAAGGTCAGGCGTGCTTCATGACGGCTCAGGAATAGACTGTAGCTTTTTACGGGGGAGGTCATTTTGTTGTAGCCAGCTGTTAGCTGTTACAGATGCGAGTCGGTTGTGATGGATGTGATGGAGAGACATTATTTCTTTGTTACTTCCTGCCATCTCAGTCAGCGTTTTCCCTCCAGCAGATTGGGTTCCACAAACCGGCCCTTGCAGGCCATCGCTGGGGGAATCTGCTGTTTCAACCATCCAGAGCATCCCATCAGACAAATGGATAATAGCTAGTTAATTTTTAATTCCTGAGATGCAAGAGAGACACACTCTTTCACGGCTGGAAGGAGAGCTAATGGGCCCGGATTAGGTATCACGGACGGATATCTGGGAACGGCCCCTTGGGAATGATGTGGGTCTCTCCATTGAACACCATTAAGAGTCCTGAAGTAAGGCAGAAAGCCTCTCAAAGACACACTGTCCAGCTATTGACCTTTTGGCAGCACAATGGAGGTCCTCGCTGAAGAGA